ACGAAACATGGTATGAAGAGATGATCAATAACAGGTGCGCTTCCCGAACATCATAAAAATGTTTTTTTTTTCAAAAAAGATATCATAAGATGACATCTCTTTAGAAACAAAAGCGTTGTAGTTGGAATGGCCTGGAACTACGATGGAACAAAGATAGCAATAGCATATCAAGACGGTAGATTAGTTCATTAGTCACAAAAAATAAATTATTTGTTTGCAAAAATAAGAAAACCTCAGCTCTCCCAAATGCTGTAAACACTAAGGTCATTGTGAATCTTAGTGGCTTTCAGATCTAGAACTTTCCAAAATCACACAAAATTGAGCAAAAACCCATAGAAGTGAAATTTCTGAACAATTTTTTCGAGCTCAGGGCAAGTCATAGTGGGTACAATGGATGGAAATCGTATTTGGAATAAAGAGCTTCCAGGAAACGTTGCAGCTTGTGAGGTAAGAAAAATTTGTGAAATGGTCGATCCAGTCTCAACCACCCAGGTTTCAGTGGTCGCCAAACAGCAATCTGCTCCTCTTCGGAATGGCAGATGGCGAGGTTCACACGTATGATTCTCAAGGAGTTTTCATAGTATGTTTTACTTGCTGAAGCAAAAGAAAGCCAGTATATCAATTTGTGCCGAATTACTGTAAAAGTTGACTTTAAAGAGACGATGGGAAAATTTTCAAAAAAGTCAATCTGCCTAATAATTACTTCCTCCGTAATGCCTTATTTTCAAGCAAAATTACAAATTTTCTGAATTTACAATTATACTTGCCACTTTCGTATTTAGGAGAAAATACACATGGTCGCCCTCGAAAATGTCGAGCTAGAGACAGCACTTGCGAGTAAGTTCTTATTATAGCCAGCTTCTTAAATGTTTTTTACAAACTTCCTGCTCTCAGAGGATCTTCGAAAAGACAACATCATCGCTTTGAAATGGTTTGCACCACCTCAGAAAAGCCGAATTTTCGATAATGGTGAGCCGCAGTTATAGTAAGCTCAATGCTAAATAACGTTTAAGCGTTGCTATGAACTAAAATTCTTCTAATCTCATGTTTTTTTTTCCGTACTAATCAAAAAGGTAGTGTCACTTTTGAAAAATAGCGTTGATTTGCGGGTAATCAATACAGGAGCACAAATATCATTATATAAATATATATATAAGTGTATTGTTATATAGATATATGAACAAGTTAAATAATGTTGTATAACTTTTGGTGGTCTCTTTTAGATTCTCCCGTTATGCCTCGCCTTCCAAGATATCAATCATTGGAATCTCTTTCCTTTGCCTCGGACCATAGACCTGATCCTAAGCCTAAGCTCTTGATTGCTTATGCTCATGGTGTCATACA